AAAAAAAAAAGTAGACAAGAAGAGGCATGTGAGTAGTGAGTATTAAAATAAAAAGCAGTAACCTACCTTCCATAAAAAGGAATTCTTGCTTTGGTAGCATTCTGTTTTAGTTGGTCAAAAGCTCCTAGAAGATAAAGAGTTCATGAATCCTCAAACTTGAACATAAAAATTACAGAAAACAATTTTGAAATTTCAACACATTACCTGCTCTGAATGTGTCTGCACATATTAAACAGGTCTTCCAACCTTTCCTCTGGTAATAATATGCTAACTGGGTGAGAAAAGATTTAAAAATATAATATCATAAAATATAATAAACTATACATCTTCTGTTTATCCTTATTTACCTAAGGAGTAAAATAAAACTGCTTATAATTCTCCCAAAAATATTATTAAAAATTTTTGAATATGGCAAATCTCCTAAAAAGTTTATATTCTAATTATCACACAGTAGCATTCAAATATAAAATTATCAGCCGGGCGCGGTGGCTCGAGCCTGTAATCCCAGCACTTTGGGAGGCTGAGGCGGGTGGATCATGAGGTCAAGAGATCGAGACCATCCTGGTCAACATGGTGAAACCTCGTCTCTACTAAAAATACAAAACATTAGCTGGGCGTGGGGGCGTGTGCCTGTAATCTCAGCTACTCAGGAGGCTGAGGCAGGAGAATTGCCTGAACCCAGGAGGTGGGGGTTGTGGTGAGCCGAGATCGTGCCATTGCACTCCAGCCTGGGTAACAAGAGCGAAACGCCGCTTCAAAAAAAATAAAAAAATTAAAAAAATTAAAAACAATAAAATTATCAAGTAGCAAATGATGATAGTAAAAAATATTAAATACTATTAATGTTAATTAAAAACAACAAAATGATCTAAAAATCATTTTCTCATTTCCCCCCTCAAACTGTAACATAGATGAAGCTTGTGGAAAAATCCCATAATATTGGTGAGACACCCAATTCAGGAGAGAGTAGTAGTAAACCAAATTAAAAATTAGCATAGGGCTGGGCACGGCGGTTCACACCTGTAATCCCAGCACTCTGGAAGGTCAGGGTGGATCATGAGGTCAGGAGACTGAGACCATGCTGGACAACATGGTGAAACCCCACCTCTACTAAAATACAAAAAATTAACCAGGCATGGTGGTGGGGGCACCTGTATTCCCAGCTACTGGGGAGACTGAGGCAGGGGACTTGCCTGAACCCGAGGCGGAGGTTGCAGTGAGCCAAGATCTTGCCACTGTACTCCAGCTTCTCAACAGAGAGAGACTCCATTCCCCCAAAAAAATAATTAGCATAAAGAGGTCAAGGCTACAGTGAGCCACATTCACATGCCACTGCACTACAGCTTGGGCAACAAAGCAAGACTCTGTCTAAAAAAAAAAAAATAGCATAAGGATATGCAAAATGAAGATCTATAGTATGCTGGGTGGGAACCTGAAAAAGGAATACTGAGCCATAGTGGATAAAGTAAACTTCATGTTCTCTTCTCCAAAAATCATATACTCACTTCCTGAAAGGATAGGAATTGTCTTTTTTTTTTTTTTAAATAAAAGAAATAGCATAGTTATAGATGTCTACCTTCTTACAAAAAGAAATGATAAGAAACTATGAGGATCTCTCTTCTTATCCTACAAAAAAACTACTTAAAAACATACGTCAAGTAACACAAAGTTATAAAGCAACAATATTATAAAGCCTGGCTTTAATATAAAATTGATTTATATAAACGTATCCTCCATGACTTCTTTTTAAATTAACTTCAATTTACCTTTGAACATGTTGTTGTTTTACCACTCCCTTGCAATCCAACAAACATGATCACATTTTGTTTTCCTTTAGTGGGTGTCCATGCTTTAACTCCAGGGTCTACAAGCTAAATAACAAAAACAAATTAAAAATAAAATCAGGTTAACATACATTTAAATTCAAAACCCCTCCCCTATAACTTTTTTCCTTTTTTGAGACAGGGGTGCAGTCTGTTATATAAGCTGGAGTACAGTGGCATAATCAGAGCTCACTGTAGCCTTGACCTCCTGGGCTCAAATGATGCTTGCACTTCAGCCTCCCAAGTAGCTGAGAATACAGGCACACATCACCATATCTAGCTAATTAAAAGAAAACTTTTTTTTTTTTTTGGAGAGACAGAGTCTTGACATGTTGCCCAGGCTGGTCTCCAACTTCTGGGTTCAAGCAATCCTTCTGTCTCAGCCTCAAAGTGCTGGGATTTCAGACGTGAGCCACTGTGCCCTCCCACAACTTTTAAATTATGAAGATAATTTACGGACATTTTCATATAAAAGCTACCATAATGCTGCTATTCTAATACGACTATTCTCCTTTGTATATACAGGGTAAAATTTAAGAACATAAAATAATGCATTGTGAAGTCATAATCAAGCCTATATTCCAAACCAATTCAGGGGTAGAGATCTCACAACATTTTTTTAGAACAACCTGGAGTATAAAATAAAACGTGAAACCAAGTTTAAGCCAAAGGAGGAATCTACAGCAGCACTACAGAAATGTAATACAAAAATGTATATGAGGCCCACACATGAATTTTTAAATTTCCAGTAATGACATTTTAAAAAGTAAAAACAGGTGATACTAATTTTAATATTTACCACAATATATCTAAAAATTATCATTTTTATATATAATCTATATAAAAAATTGGCTATTTTACATTCCTTTTCCCATATCAAGTCTGAAAATCTGGTGTGTATATATAAAACACATCTCAGTTTGGACTAGCCACATTATAAATGCTCAATAGCCACATGTGGCTAGTGGATGCCATACTCAAGAGTGCTAATGTCCACATTCAATTGGACAAATATTTACTTAACAAAATTACAGATTATATGTAAAAGGTTTTCCGGGTCAAATTATAAATTCTCCAATGCCAAATATTGACTGTAAATTTATTATATTTAGAGGGCTAATAAAAAATAATCACTAACTTTAAAATGACAGCCAGTGGAAAATTGAGGTTCATATAGTGACAGGTCTCCAAATTAAAAGAGCACGGACATTTAAAAAATAATCCACTTGGGAGTCAGTTGTTAGAAGCTTGAAATGTATGATATAATAATAAATCCATAATAGTTAATGTCCTAGATCGGGGCTGGTAAACTATGTGCAAATAAAATTTCAATGGAGGCTGAGCTTGGTGGCTCATGCCTATAATCCTGGCCCTTTGTGGGGGCCAAAGGAGGAGGATCAACTGAGACCAGCTTGGGCAACATAGCAAGATCTTGTCTCTACGAAAATTTAATTAGCCAGATGTAGTGGCATGCACCTGTCGTCCCAGCCAATCAGAGGCTGAGGCAGGAAGATTGCTTGAGCCTAAGAGTTTGAGACTGCAATGAGCTACGCAGGCCACTGTACTCCGGCCTGGGCAAGAGACTATAAAGTTATTACATTTCTAGTTACTACACTGAAAAAAGTTCCAATGTAATACAGCCATGCCCATTCATTTACTACTTTTTTTGTTCTTTTTTTTTTGAGACGGGGTCTCACTTTGTCACCCAGGCAAGAATACAGTGGTACAAACACGGCTCACTGCAGTCTCGAACTCTTGGGCTCAAGTGATCCTATCATCTCAGCCTCCTGAGTAGCTGGAACTACAGGCGTGCGTCACGATGCCTGGCTAATTTTAATATTTGTTTGTGGAGGCGGGTTACTACTATGTTGCCCAGACTGGTTTTGAACGCTTGGCCTCAAGCAATCCTCCAGCCTTGGCCTCCTGAAGGGCTGGAATTACAGGTATAAGCCATTGTGCCTAGACCCTTTACTGCTTTTGTGCCGCAACAGGAGAGCTGAGTAGTTGCAACAGAAATCACGTGGTTCACAAAAGTTAAACCTTTGAAAGTCTGCCAAGCCATCCTATACAATACCATAAAAATTACATAATCCCTATTATACCTGAATTTCAAGGAAAGCCATGAAGTAGTGAAGGAAGGAAAATACATTTGCTTATACTTTCCTAGGCATCGACCTACCCTTAGGCAAACTTCTGAAAGAGGCAAAATCTGTCTTAAACATAAATCCACTTCCCTTCCTCATAGATCCTTTCAGTACACTGATGCTGCTCCACATTCACCTCCATTTTCTACATGTCATGGCAAAATCTCCCAGCTCTCTATGGATCCATTATTTGGAACATGTATCTTTTACTAAATAATTATTTTATAAATTTATCTTCTCTTCTTCCCACCCTCAAGAACGGCAGTTTTCAACTTCTTGGTCTCAGGACTTCTTTATAATCATGTTAGTTTGTAAAAGTTAGTTGCAATGTAAAATCTAAAACCATACAAACTTTTATACTCTGTTACATTAAAATCCCTGATTCCATCTTGGATTTTAAATGAATCTTGTAACATCACACATTAGTTATTCACAAAACGCTGGTTCACTGAGTTATTCAGATCTCCCATCACTGATATATTTGATTATACATAATCAAAAAACTTTATTCATTAATATCAATACTGACACTCATCAGAAAAGTAAGTAGTGGAATACTGTCAAACTCAGAGGAGACAGATGATAGATACAAGTTCTTTTTTTTTTTTTTTTTTTCAGATGGAGTTTTGCTCTTGTTGCCCAGGCTGGAGTGCAATGGCACGATCTCAGCTCACTGCAACCTCCACCTCCTGGGTTCAAGCAATTCTCCTGCTTCAGCCTCCCAAGTAGCTGGGACTACAGGCAAGTGCCACCATGCCCGGCTAATTTTTTGTACTCAGTAGAGACGGGGTTTCACAATGTTGATCAGGCCAGTCTCAAACTTCTGACCTCAGGTGATCCACCCACCTCTGCCTCCCAAAGTGCTGGGATTATAGGTGTGTGCCACTGTGCCTGTCGGCTTTTT